AGAAAATGCTCCACATCCTTAGCTATCAGGGAAATGCAAATCAAAAAAAAACTTTGAGATACCATCTTACCCCTGCCAGAATGGCTAAAATTAGAAACACCAGTGATGACTTATGTTGGAGAGGATGTGCAGAAATTGGAACACTCCTCCACTGCTGGTGGGAATGCAAACTCATACAGCCATTTTGGAGATCAGTATGGCGGTTCCTCAGGGAAATGGGAATTAGTTTACCACAGGACCCAGCAATCCCCCTCTTAGGCATATACCCAAAGGATTCATATCCATGCAACAAAGATATCCGTTCAACTATGTTCATAGCAGCACTATTTGTAATAGCAAGAACCTGGAAGCAACCTAGATGCCCCTCAACTGAAGAATGGATAATGAAGATGTGGCACATCTACACAATGGAATACTACTCTGTAGAAAAAATAATGGTATCTTGAAATTCGCAGGCAAGTGGATGGCACTTGAAGAAACCATCCTGAATGAGGTAACCCAGTCACATAAAGAGGAACATAGTATGTACTCACTCATATATGTATTTTAGACCTAGATCAAAGGATCACCCGCCTATAATTCACACCACTAGAGGAACTAGGATACAAGGTGTATTCTAAGAGATTCATATAAAGTCCCTCACAGAACTGGTAAGGGACAAGTCCCCCAAATCTCAGGGGAAGTGGGGGGGCAGTGAATGGAGAGAGAACTAGGAGAAAACAAGGGGGAGGAAAGGAAAACATGTGCGACCAGGAAGATTGAGCCTGGTTAGGAATAGAAGACAGGAAAGAGAGAGAGAGAGAGAGAGGGAACATAAAAGAGGGAGCCAATATTGGTTTGAAGATAAAATTGAACACAAAGAAAGGTCTAGAGAACTACAAGACTGCTCCCAACTAACAATCTCAGCTTCCGTGGAAAGGCTATCATAAATGCCCTTCCGGGAGAGTGAGATCAACAACTAACTTATCCATCGAGTCCTCAACTAGTGCCTGTTGAAAATTGGAGCAAACACCCATACATAAACACTGAGTCGAACTAGAACCCAGAAGCAGATGGAGAGGACAAGACCATGCGGCAGAAGCACATAGAGACAGCTTACCTGAACAAGGAGGAGCTAAGGGTCACTAGACTGATAGCTGGGAAGCCAGCATGGGACTGACTCAGGCCCCTCTGAATATGAGTCTCAGCCAGAAGGACTGAGCAGTCTAAGAGACCTCAGACAGTGGAGCCAGGATGTATCCCTGGTGTACAAAAGGACTTTGCAAACATATCCACCATGGAGGGATAACTGCCTTAATCTAGAGACAGGAGAGAAGCCCTAGTCCCTACTTCACATGACCTGTCAGATCTACATGACCCCAACTGGATGGCATTCCCCTACATATGGAATTGGGGTGGGGGGATGGGAGGGGAGGGTGTTTAGAGTGCATGTGAGAGGGCAGTGAGGGTAAAAGGGAGGGAAGGAGGTAGGGCTGGGGGGAGGGAGGGAGGGAGGGAGGGAGAGGGAACTGGGATCGACATGTAAAATAATAAATTAAATTTAAAAAAATGCTTTGACTCCAAAATTTAAGTTGAAGGACAAGTTACTGGGGAAAAGGATTTCTATTTTTGTTTCCACAGAAAATGAAAAGATGTGGATTTCTTCCAGACTAATGTGGTTTGATCACGCCAGACTGCCTGAAACAGAGTACAAGCTGATCCTACATTCAAAACAGCTGGAGAAAACAGCCCTACAGACTACAGCCAGGATATCTGAATCTTCTTCGAATCCCCCACGACAGCGCCCCTTACCAACAGGAAGTAGTTTGGAAAGAACAATGCCCAAATTCCCAAATATTTTTGTGTAAATGTTTGTTTTCATCTAATTGGACTTTGTTATATAAAATTAAATAAAAAAGAAAAAATCAAGAGTGAGAAAATACAGCATCTTAATATATTTTAAAGGAACCTACCAGACACACCACAGTTCAGAAATCTGTGTAATATCTTATTGTTAAAGTTCTAAACATAAAAATGTTCCTGAGTAGAAATTTGATTGATGGCACTAGGAATATTTCTTTTTTTCTATCATATGAAGACCTAATTAAGAATTATGGAGCCAAAAAAATTACAGCCTGAAACTTACAATTTCCAGTTCACTGCACTAACTCAATGTCAAATTCAACATGTGTCAAACTGGTTAGAGATTTAGTTAACTATGCAGAAATCTTTTAGCTATTCTTATGAAATGTAACCTAATCCCAGGAATGACACTTGTCATATTGTACATTCTGCCAACAAGAGATTATGCTCAGTTGCTCTGTTCATACACCAGGGGGCAGGAATCATGAGCATAGCATTCCAACTCTACTACCACAATTCTAATTCAAGGAAGGTTTTGCCAGTATTAAATTGTGTAAATAAACATGTTGATGAATCAAAGCAATTATTGTAAGCCTTAGCAGGTTCCAATCAGTGAGGCATTTTTTTTTTTCCAAAAGAGGAATACAGAGGATAGAACCCTCTTCAGACAGAATAGAGTGCACAGCGTGGCAGCAGTGAGTGAGGGTAGAAAAGAACATTGGGAATACATTTCAGTGCAGGAAACTGGCAAGAAATAAACTGCGGCTTCTGCTGAGTAACCAGACAGAAAAAAGTCTCTGTGAAATAGCCATAACTAAGGGCTATGAAATCTTGGTGGCAAAAAAGTTGGTCACACAGCTCGTACAACTCCACTATTTACTTCATACAAATCCAAAATATGTTTAAGGCCACTTTATCATCACCTGGAAAAGTAAAGTTATAATAATCAGCATCAGCCATTTTGAAGTGTATATAAGTTCACTAAGCTGTATAGATTCTGGGTCAGGTTAATTTTGACTTACTTATTGTGTTTATTTATTTGCAAGGTTTTCTTATAACAAAGTTTATAAAATGTGAGATCAATTGTAAGAAAGGGGAATTCTGAGAGGAAAAGCCTTCAAAATATGTTACTTTTAAAAACAATATAAAACTCAAGACCATGTGAACTGGGCTCTTTTTGGGCTTAGACCCAAAAGTAAGGGATTCTGAAGCACATGCTTTATTAACCATACATCAAATCTTTTAGATCATTTATCACCTTCATGATATAAAAACAAAAATGTAATATATGTTTATCACTTATACCATTGAAAAAACAAGAAATAGTCAAATTGTCATTTTTTTTTTAAATACAAGGAAGGCTAGCTTTGAGACAAAACAATCTGCCTTTACAACCTAAGCTAATGAATGTATAACTTGTCCATTATCCTATCAGAGGACACCTAGATTGTGCCAATTTCCTGATAGTGTGAAGAGTACAGCAATAAGCATAGATGTACAGGTGTCTATGCATGTATTGACTTAGCCTCCTTTAGAACTATGTGTCATATAGCTGGAGCATATGGCAGTTGTAATTTTACTCTTTAGGGAACCTCTCTCTGTGCTGACTGGCATAGTGGCCATACCAGCTTGCTATTCCTGCAGTGTATGAGGGCTTCTCTTTCCTCCCTTCCTCAGCAGGGTCTGTTGTCAGTTTTTATCATGATAATCATTTGGCTGAAGTGAAATGAGTTAGCCTTTATTTTCCATTCCCTGATAGCTAAAGATGTTGTGCACTTTTTCCAGTACTTATTGGCTGTTTGTATTGAATATCTATCCATGTCATGATTGATAATAAATAATGACCATTTCATAAATTAATTAGATGATTGGGTTCTCGAGTTTTTTTAATTTTGAAGTTTTTTTTAATATAAGCTAGATAACAAGTAATCATCTGATGCATAGTTGACAAAGGACATTTTCGTATTTGGTAAGCTGTCTGTTGACTCCATTTACAGTTTTCTTTATTTTCCAGGAGGTTTTTAATTTCTAATAACCTTAATTGTTGCTCCTTGGGATTATTTCCAATGTTTGTATTGATGACTTTTTCAGAAAGTTTTCACCTCTACCTGTGTAAAAGAATTTTTCTTTTTCTTCATAATATATTTTTAAATCTAATTTTGAAACAAGCTTGTTTTGCATGTCAATCCCAGGTCCCTCACCTTCCCACCCTTCCCTGCCCCCCCCAACCTCTATCCTATCCACTTTCTGCTCCCCAGGGAGGGTGAGGCCTTCCATGATGGAACTTCAAAGTCTGTCATATCATTTGGAGTAGGGTACAGGCCCTCCTCAATGTGTCTAGGCTGAGAGAGTATCCCTTTATGTGGAATGGGCTCCCAAAGTCCATTTGTATACTAGGAATAAATACTGATCCATAGACTGCCAGTCCTCCTAACTAACATCCATGTTCAGGGGGTCTGGATAGGTCTCCCTGGGGTCCATGAGCTCCCCCTTATTCAGGTCAGCTGTTTCTGTGGGTTTCCCCAGCAAGGTTTGCTCATCACTCCCCCTCTCTGCAACTGAATCCCAGGAGTTCTGCTCAGTGTTTATCTGTGAGTGTCTGTTTCAGCTTCCATCAGCTACTGGCTCTAGGATGGCGTATAAGGTAGTCATCACTCTCATTATCAGGGAAGGGCATTTAAGGTAGCCTCTCCACTATTGCTTAGATTGTTAGTTGGGGTCATCCTTTTAGGTCTCTGGACATTTCTCTAATGCCAGATTTCATAATGGGACCCTCTATATGGTACCTCTTTTCTTACTTTCCTCTATTCTTAGAGCTTTTTCTTTATAGTTGCATCTAGTGCTTTCTAGATTTCCATTTTTTGGTGTATCAATCCAATTTATTAATTATGTCCTCGGGGAAGAAGAAGCCACAGCCTTCCACCATAGACCCTTCTGGCCATCTGGATAGCTTCTGCTCTCGCAGGCCACCTCAGCTCTGTCTTGGTTTCTCCAGAGAGAGAGAGAGAGAGAGAGAGGTCTGTCTGTCTTGTGTGCCCTGAAACTAACACCCAAGAGGTGACTAGATATCCTCAGGGAAATTTCTCAAGTCCTCCTAGGAATAGCCAAGGACAGAATGATCCTAAGCATCGGCCAGGCATGGCAAGCTTAAGCAGGGGTAGAACAGGTTAAAGTTCTTTACCGCAAAGGAGTAAACCACACTGTAGAGGGAAAATAAATAGAGGAGCCCAGAGTAGCAGAATCCAGGAGCCCAGGGCACATCACTATAGGAGCAGTGGGTGACATGGGGGCCCTGGTTCTCTAGTCCCAGGACCTTGCCACATCAGCCACTGAGGAAGAGACGCTTGTAGGCCTTGTTCATCTGTTCCAAGAAGATGAAGGTGAGGACAGTGTGGGGACCCAGTCGGGCATAGTATGGTGTGAAGCCCTTCCACAGCCTGAAGAAACCCTCATAGCGGACGACTTTCATCAGTACATCCAGCCCATTCTTGTACTCTGGCTTCCCGTCGATCATTCGCATATTTTGGATCCTAGTTTTGACGATGTCCACAGGCATGGAAGCGGCAGTGGTGAGGAGGCCACTGATCATGCTGGCGCAGAAGTGGCATAGAATATTGTCAGAGAAGTAGCCTGAGTCTAGCAAGAACTGCTTGGATTGGGAGTAGGAGGCAAGCTGGGCAGCATTGACGACAACAGCTCGAGCCATGGTAGGGATGCAGCCCCGCCACAGTGTGGGGACTCCCTCTTCCCTGGCAATTCGAATTAGGGCATTAAACACGTTTTTGTAGCCATGGCGCTGGCCAGCTGGAAGCCGGCCATCAGCAGTCATCCTGATAAGAGCCACCTCAGCAGACGTTCCCACAAATGCACCAGTTGCACCTGCAGTCATGCCAATGAGGGCTTTCAGCAGAAAGCCAGGGGGTGTACCATCAGCCCCAGCCAGGCGCTCAGACAACACAGTATAGATGCCAAGACAAGTGGTGGTGTAGGTGGCCTGGCGCAGTAGGCCAGCTGACAGCCCAGTATAAACGCCCTTCACCCCTTCTGCCTTCAGGATGCTGGTGAGGGCATGGAAACTGGTTTTGTACTTTCGAGTCTTGGCCCCTTCACCACTCAACTGCGTCCGGTTCTTCACCAAGTTCAGAGGCTGCACAAAAACTGTAGCGCCCATCCCAGCCAGGCCCCCAAACAGGAACTTGACCGACTTAGGGAAGGTACGGGGCTTCCCTCCATTCCCTCCATCCGGCCAGCCCTGGGACTCGCCGCCTCCGCCATCACCCCTTGATGGCCCTCGGCTTTGGGTCCCGTGCACGCACAACCCCGCTCGTGCCCAAGGTGACACCAGCGTGAAACAGAGCAAGGGCGCGCGCGCCCACGCCCCTCCGACAGGCAAGTCTGGCTTGAGCTCCTAGATTTCCAGTTTTACCTTATTTTTTTAAAATACATTTTGAACTGATTTGTGTGTGTGTGTGTGTGTGTGTGTGTGTGTGTGTGTGTGTGTGTGTGTGCAGAGTGAGAAATATAGTTGGCACCTTCGTTCTTCAACATGTGGATATCCTATTTTTCCAGTACTATTTATTAAATGAGTTGCCATTTTATAATTTTTTTTTTACAGCTTTGTTGAAAATTAAGTGCATATTGTTGACGGCTGCTGAGGGATGAAACTGTTGTTAGGTTGCTTATGAACCAGTGGATGACAACACAACTATGTGCATTTGGGCTGCACTAGTTGTACTCAAGTGACTTTTATTAATAAAATAAATAAATAAAAACATGAATATTGGAGAGTTATGAAGTGAGGGGCAATTAGAAAGAGTTGGAGGGAGGTAGTGGTGGCTGGATATGATCAATGTGCATCATATACATGAACAGACCTTTCATGGAATAAAAAACTAGGTGGCTATCTGTATTTAGTTTTAAGTCCTATCTCCAGCAAACAATTCTGCTTTTGTGCCGCCACTGTGCTGCTTTATGTGTGTAGCTCTGTAAGATAGTTTAAGACATGGAGATGCCTCCAACATTAACCTTTGTTCCAGATTATTTTGGTATTTGGGGGTCCATATGAATTTAATTATTTTTTTTATTTCTATGAAAGATGTAATTGAGATTTTGATCCAGATGGAATTGAATCTGTAGATCACTTAAAGGAATATAGCCTTTTCCACAACATTAATTCTGCCAATTCATGAGCACAAGAGGTCTTTCCATCTTTTTTTGCTGTCTATTGTATTAAATGCCAATTTGATACAGGATATGGTCACCTGGGAAGAAGGAATCATAATCAAGAAAATGTTTCTATAGGCAAAACTGTAGGGCATTTTCATGATTGATGGTTGATGTAGGATGACCAGCTTATCACAGGCAGGGCTACCCATGAGCAGGTGGTCCTGGATGGAATGAGAAAGCAGGGTGAGCAAGCAATGAGCTGGACAGACTCATATTTTTTGGATGGCTAATGTTCTGCTAGAGGTCTTTCTCAAGTGTGCTGGGACTATGAGAAGCAAATTCCCAAATATTGTTTATAAATGTTTGTTTTCATTTAAATCGACTTTGTTATATAAAATAAATTTAAAAAAAAGAAAGGTCTAGAGACCTATAAGACTGTCGCCAACTAACAATTTGAGTAACCTTGGAAAGGCTACCATAAATGCCCTTCCTGGATAGTGAGATCAACAACTAACTTATCCTAAGTTATCCATGAAACAGAAGGAAACACCCATATCTAAACACTGAGTCGAACTAGAATCTAGATGCAGACAAGACCGGGTTGCAGAAACATAGAGACAGCTGACCTGAACAAGGAGGAGCTGATGGGCCCCCAGACTGATAGCTGGGAATCCAGTATGGGACTCAGACCCCCCTGAATATGTGTCTCAGCCAGAGGGACTGAGCAGTCTAAGGGACCTCAGACAGTGGAACCAGGATGTATCCCTGGTGCACAAAAGGACCTTGTGAACACATCCCCCATTGAGGGATACTGCCTTAACCTAGAGACAGGAGAGAAGTCCTAGTCCCTACTTCAAATGACCTGACAGATCTACATGATCCCACTGGATGGCAATGCCCTACATGTGGAATTGGTGTGGGGGGATGTGAGGGAAGGGTGGTCAGGGTGCATGTGAGGGGGCAGAGAGGGTAAAAGGGAGGGAGGGAGAGGGAACTGGGATCTACATGTAAAATAATAATTTAAATAAAAAAAATTAAAACATTGATTAGGCAGTTTTGCATTCTATACAAATAATGAAATCATGATTCTGCAAACTTAACAACTTAAGAGTAGAACTATTCATTTGGTCTGAAGATAATTTAATAGTTTCCCATCCCCAAAAAAGCAACACTAGATTAAGAAGATATATTAAACTGTGTTTTACTTTTTTTTCTCAGCATGTACATTTAACCCAGTAGTTTTTAATCAAGTAGCTCACTGCTAATGATCTGCCTGGATACAAATTGTGGGTACTTTTCACATAGTCTTTTGGTCACCTCTGAGTTCTGGGACTACAGATGTGCACTACTGCATCTGGCTCCCAGTTCCTCCCCATCTCCCCTTCCTTCTGGATCCACTCCCTTTCTGTATCTTATTAGAAAAGAACAGGCTTCTAAGAGATAATAAAAAATGAAACAAAATAAACTGTGGTATGATAAAATAAGACCTATCACATCAAAGTTGGACAAGACAAACTATCAGAAGGAAAAGAGACCAAGAGAAGGCACAAGAATCAGAGACCCACTCATTCTCACACTCAGGAGTCACATAAAAACAGTAAACTGGAAGCCATAATATACACGGAGGACCTGGTGCAGACCCATTCAGGCCCTGAACATGCACACTTCTCATGACTGGTGAAGGTAGACATTCTACATGAATTGAACTTAGGCTTCTTGCCTGTGCTACCACAGGTTCCATCTCTCCCTGTCCTCAGAGCTTTTGTCTGGTTGAGGTTTTTGTGGTGCTCTTGTTGACACTCTGCCACTGTGCCTTCTCTCATAGCACAGAAATACACTGCTGAGTCCTCCATCTCTGCAGCTGTGATGATGAGTCTAATGGAACTCTCTGTATTCTGGAAGTTCAGAGAATAACGACCCTCTGTTGCATTTTCCTTTTTGTAAGACTCCTGACGAATAAGGAAAACCATTTTCCCACTTGCCATTTGCTTGTACCAGAACAAGTAGTAAGTACTTTCCCGGGTTTCATACACACAGTCCAATGTCACAGTCCTTTTCTCCATCACGGAAATTGAAGTCTGAGCCTGAGTTACTTTCTGGGCCATGCTGGCTGCTGAAGGAAAGAACACAGGGACATCAACCATTCAATATAATAACAGAAGTCTAAAGGATGAAGCAGCTTATGAGCCAGAATTCTGATGATCCCTCCCTTCTGAGCCTCAGCAGAGGACAATGATCTCCTCTCCCTATGACCTAGAGGGATAGCCTGTCCTATTCTGGGGAACATACTTACCAAAAAAAATGGAGCTGAAGATTGCTCCCAGCAGTCTAAGGATCAACATATTGTTAGCTCTTGTTTTGAGTGATATTTTCTATGATCTGTCTCGACCCAGATCCTAATCTGTACCTGTGCTTAAGAGAAACAAGCTCCATTACTTGTCTGTGAGGTGCAAGCACCCCAACAGGAAATGCAGTTGGCAGTTATGGGGCTGGTCTAATTGTGCCCTGTCACACCTTCCTGTATCAGCGTGGGAGAATATATTGAGGATCTATCTGTTGGTCTCATTAAAGTGAACCAGAAGCCATCAGTACTAACATGGACTGATTTTCAGATCATTTTGTGATGGGCATCACAGGACATGGTATTTATTATGAAACCTAGTAATATGTGGATGATATAGTTATGTTCCTTTTTGGACTTATCAATACACCCTTTTTCCGAGAGGAAAAATTGATTGACAATTTAACAAGAATGTAAAACTTCACCTCAGTCTTTCTATCTACATTTCTAATAAAGAGATAGGAAAATTTATATGAGAAATATGTTGTTCTTAATGAAAGTTTTTACATCATGTCCCCTAAGAAACAAAATCTGTCATATGTATGCTATGTCAAATAACAGAAGGAATCTCTCTCTCTCTCTCTCTCTCTCTCTCTCTCTCTCACACACACACACACACACAGACACAGTTTGTCTTTCTATTTACATGTGTGTGTTTCATATTTAGAAGAATGAACAAAATTAAATTCCCCAAATTTTATTGAATGACAAGGTGCCACAACTTTCTCACATTCAAGGACTCTTAAAACCCTTGTCTCTCATGAAACCAACACCCCAGCCATTTTTCCATGTATCCATGCTGGCATCCTGTTCTGTAGCATGGTAAAACTATTTTACTCTAGTAAAGTGGAAGTAGTATATGTAGTATATTCTCCTTTAAGATCCATGACCTTACTAGCCCCAGGTACTTGACTAAGTATCTAGTATCAGGCACAATTTCTTTCTTTTTGAGAAAGTCTTAAGTACCATTAAACAGCTGTTGGTTCCCACCAAGGTTTGAATGTCACTATTGCAAGATAGGGATAGCTTGCCATGCTGCTTATTGTTGGAGTTCATAGGTGTCACAACTGAATAGGACTATTGGTTGCTTCTCTCTCTTGGCAGCTTCTTGTATCATGACTGTAGGAGGAAGACTCTCAGGTTAGACCCATTTAAATCTTTGGAGTCCTATGTCCAAAGTGTGTAGGGACTTACCTTCCATCTCTGAGAGGTAACTAAGAGCACCAGCAATAGTCTATATTGTTTTAAGAGTTATGGTATTGGGGTTTTTGTTAGTCTGTGGCTCTTATGGGGACCAACATAATTGTCAGACCAATATATATAATAAGAGCCCCAAATCAAGGAAGATATTTCCTAAGACAGTCATACATGTAATTGAAATATGACTTCATGCAAGAAAAATAGAGATTAGATTACATCAAATTAAAAAGATTCTGCATAAAATTCAAACAACCTGTAGAGATGAAGAGACAACCTACAGAGTCGGAGAGATTTTTATTATTTTCCAACCATTCACCTGCCACAGAGTTAATATGAAAACAATAAAAAAGTTACACAATCAATAATGATCTGAGCAGAACAGAGAAGAAACACAAACAACCAAGGAGTAGATAAGAATGGTCAGTGCCATTAGCCATTGATGTAATGTAAAACAAAGTCACGATTAGACACCAGATTACTCACCATATAAAGACGTAAGTGCTGATGAGGATATATGTAAAAGGATTCCTTGAATGCTGATGCAGATGAAAATAGTCACCTCATTGTAGAAAGTATGTGAAATGCTTCAGAAAATCAAAAGCAGAACTACTGTTTTTCCTACTTCTGGGAGCACAGAGAAGATGAAATTGGCATTCATTAGTTTTACACACACACACACACACACACACATACACACACACACACCCCTACACACATTTATGTGGTTCTAGTTATAGCAGTTCAGATATGAAGTCAACTTAGGTTGCCATCATCAGCAAATTGGCAGATAAAAATGTAGCATAAATACAAAGAATACTATTCAGCCAAAAAGGTGATTTTTTTTTTTCAAAACTGATGGACCTGGAGGGCATTAAGTGGAAGAAACCAGACCCTCCTCCCCAATCTGCCCTGAAAAACAATAACCATGAAAATGTCCTGTGTTTTTTTCTGGATGTTAAAAAAAAGAAAAAGAAAAAGAAAAGTTAAGTCATCTGGAAGCCTAGAGGGCATGGGAGGGATCCACAAAAAGGGAAGGAAGATTTGATTAGTTTCGTACTATACACATCTGTGGGATCATTTCCCTGAACCTTAACAACACATTAATACACTAATAAGACAAACGCTATAGGAAAATGTCTTGTGTGGGTTAGTAATTTGATGCAAAATAGAGTCACCTGGAAAGAGGGATTTTCAACTGAAAAACTGCTTCCACCAGATTGGCCTGCAACAAGTGTGTGGGGCATCTTGAACACTGATTCATGTAGGAGGGCCAAGTACTGTGGGAAGTACCACTTCTTGAAAGGGTTCCTGGGTTGTGTGTAAATGTGATGAATGAAGGTGGGAAAAGCATTAATTCTCAAGGATGAATGCAGTGATCCAGGCAAGGACAGATGAGTGATCTTGTCTTAGCACATAGACTTCCAGTGGCCTGGATCCCATTTTCTTCTTCCTAGCTCAGGCTTTCCTCATCTGGGGAGTGCTGCTAGTCTTGCCCATGTGCTATCCAAAACTTATTTCATTCCTTACTATAAAAGGCACGTGTTCTTCTTACATGTCCCCTCTTAGCAGATTCAGTGTTCTTCCTTCCATAGAACACATCAGAATGTGGCCACAGGGAGCATGCTTCCCCACATGAATGGGGTGCTGACTTACTTATAGGTTTTCACTTTCCCAATGAGTAAAGCATTGCCTGAAAAAAATCACAGAGCTCTTAAAGGCAGAAGATGATTGAGATGTTTGGTTCTTTTCTTCTGATATTCAGCTCTTGGCCTCCCTACTGTACAGTGGCTCCAGTCTCCAGCTGTAAAAGGAGAGGCATAATTTAAGTGCTGAGTGGGGACCTCAGTCTACTGTTTAATACATGTTCACTGTCCTGGAACTAGAGAGATGTAAGAATAATTTTGGCTTCTCAAGGAACCAACTAGACTTTAGGACAGCACAAGGGATAGATGCAACCTTCTCTCATCCTGAACAAGGATACAGTGTTTATTAAAATCAAAGCCTTGAAGGCTCCTTAGGCTCAGTGGCCCAGATCTTACATGCAGGTATCAGAGAGGTTGCGCTGATGTTGAGATTGAGGACATGTGGCTAGCTAGGACATGCAGAGCAAACCCTGGCATTTCAGCATCCTACTGCTCTCTGTCCCTCCTAAGGAGATAAACACAAACAAAAAGAAATGACACAATTAAATAGGATCTCTTTTCCAGTTATCCACTCACAGGACAACATAAGCAACAGTCCACCAACTCTTGGGGTCTAGGAAACAGCTCTGAGGGTTTGTGTCGGGGCTGCAGGTGTCTGCTGCACACTATGTCTCTGTAGAACAGAAGTATGCAGCAGTATCTTCAGGCCGGGCAGCAGTGACGGACAGGGAACTGCTCTGGGTGGAGGTGTTAAGGGTCACTCTTAGTCTTCCACTCTGTTTCTCTTTCTCATGTGAACGCATTAAGATTAGCATGGTAGGGCCTCTGTTCGAGTCCTGCCTGTACCACTGTACAAAGTTTGAATAAGCTTTGTAACTGCAGTTCATGGTGACCTTTTCCCCTTCCTGGATGCTCAAAGCCTGAGGAGTCTCTTTTCCCTGTTGGCCCTTTACACCTATATAGAAGCACAGGCCAGAGAACAGGAGTCAGTAGTTATATTTTCAAATTGCATTTTCCAATGAACATTTCTCATTCATGTGGCCTCTTAACTTAGGTCTCCCCATCCCCATGACTGCCAACCCCAACTCACTGGCCAGTTGAAGCCATAGAGTCACCAAAGACACTCTCAGAAATGTGTTCATTCTTCTTCCTTTATTGACGTCACAGGTAACACTGTTCTGTACCCTGAAGCTGATCCTGGTTCTGAAGACAAAAGATTCAGTTCTGGTTGATGAGTTTATATTTAATCTTTTGTCCCCCAGAGTCTCAGGTTTTTGCTTAGCCAGTCAGAGACAAGTCTTGGTTCACCACATTCCCCCAACTCCAACCTCAAACCCAGCCCCCATCTTTCTGACAGAGAGGCACTGCCATCTGGTGTTGACCACAGTATCCTGCCACTAGAAGGTGTTCTTGCATGGAGAGTGTGTAGATTGCAACAATTACAAGCTTGTTTTACTCTGTCTTCTTCCTGCACATGGTGAGAAGACACACAGACTAATTCCAGTGAGAGGTCAGTGGAGAATGGCGAAGCACAGAATTTACAGAATACTTCTTAAGTAACTACAGCTCCTGAAAAAGCTATGTATCTGTGAGGGCAGAGATGGCTCCCTGGGTAAAGTGTTTGCTATGCAAGCCTGATGGCCTGAGTTCATTCCCTAGAACCCACAGTGATTAGAGAACACCAGCTATAGGAGGTTGTCCTCTGGTCTCCACACACACTATGACACATATGTGCCTGGATGCATGAGTGTGTATATATATATATACACACACCAATAATAAATGAGATACATAAAATGTATCTGTGAGGTTCATAGAAAAAAAAAACTGCTTGTTCCCAATGCTTGAATGATATTGTATGTAAATAAAGGATTTTATTGCTGTGTGACAGAAATAGACCCCTGTTAGATTAAGTAGAAAATGAAAAATTGAATTAATTATCAAATTAAATTAATAATAGATTGACTCCAAGTCCATAGTAGGGTTGAGAATCAGGATCAACAACTGCATAATCAGGAACAGCACAAAAAACAAAACAAAACAAAACAAAACAAAACAAAAAAAAAAAAACACAGCACAGGCCATTCCTTAGAGGATCTGTTGGCTCTAGTCTGAGCTGCAAACTCTAAGTGGTGTGTGCAAAGCTGTTCACAAAACGCCTTATGTGCAGCTGCAGTCCAGAGTTCTGCCTTCCTAATCTTGGTGAAATT